GACTCAGTGGAGACAGCTCATCTCTGTTTGACATTGTAATAGCTGAGGTGACTGGGGACAAAGGATCCAAGATGGCTTCACTCACGTGTTTGGAACCTCAGTTGGCTGTGCTGGCTGGGGTTTGGCTGAGTGTGTCTGTCTGTCTCTCTCTCTTCATAATTGCTTGTCCTCTCCACATGGCCTCTCCAGTCAGATAATTAGACCCTTAGATGGCAGCTGGTTCCCAAGATAGCAAAAGTAGAAGGTGCCAGACTCTGTTAAGGGCCCAGACTTGGGACTGGCATAGATTTACTTCCCTTACATTCTCTTAGTCAAAGTGAGTCACAAGGCTGGTGCAGATTCAGAGGGAGGGGAAATAGACTCTACCTCTTGGTAGGAGGTGCTGAATATATATAAGGGGATTATGAGTAGCCATCTTTGCCAGAAATTCACCACAATATTCTTTGTTTGAAAAAGAAGTGCTTAGAAATCATTAATTAAATACATCTTGGAAGATGCCATACAAGATGAAGAAGTTTGAAAAAAAAACAGGTGTGATTGCTTATGTACCTGTTCGGCCACTGTTAACAAAGCTAAAATCATCATGCTTTAAATGAGATACAGGTTCTATTCTCCTATAAACGTTTATGCTTAAGCAGCCTTGGGCAGTATCCGAGGCCCAACTCCTCCTCACTTGTTCTTTGGTCTAAGATGGCTGCTATAGCTCCCCCACCATATATCCACATTCAAACCAGGGTAGAGGAGGGAGGAAAAAGGGAAAGGTGCGCTCTTCCCACCCTTTTTAAAAGCACAACCCAGAAGTTGCACAGGTCACGTTTCCTCACAGCCCATTGGTGGAGCCCATCACATGACCACACCTAACTTCAAAGGAGTCTGGGAAATGTAGTCTTTCTTCTAGAAGGCCAAAGGCCCAGGCAGACTTCTTTGACTACAAAAAAGGGGATCAGAGAGTAGGTAACTAACCAGTCCCAGCCACACTGACTGTACAGGGTGAGAGGAAGTTGGTGTGAAAGATCAGGGGATAAAAGAGGTGAGAGAAGTGGGGCGCCTCGGTGCTTCAGTCTGTTAAGCGCCTGACTCCTGATTTTGGCACAGGCCACCATCTCACAGTTCCTGGGATCGAGCCCCACATGGGGCTCTGCACTGACAGCGACATCTCAGAGCCTGCTTGGGATTCTCTATCTCTCCCCCTCTTGCTGTCCCCCCAATAAATAAATAAATAAATAAACTTCATGGTGGGAGAAGCAGCAGGTAGAAAGCCAATTTGTACGTAGGAAGTCGGGAAAGGGACAGTGAAGAGTCTGTTTCTGTGAGGAGCCGTGGCAACCTTTTACTTGGGTTAAGACTATCATCTTGCCTTAGAATGAGGCAGAGAGAGGGGACTCCACCTCAGGTCCCGCAGTCTCTGATAAAGGTATTGCCATGCTCTGAAGCGCCGTTAATCATACGCCATCTTCAAACATGGCTCTCCGGTGGGAAGCACTATTTAAGGAAACATTTGAGGATGCAGTTACTTTATAGCCTCAGTTTAAAAGGGTTTTTTTTTTTTTTTCCTCTTGGAAAAAAGTGACCTGCTGGCCAGGACACTGTCCTTTTGAACCTCTTTCTTATTTCCGCCACCTACCTGGTTAGATGTGTTAAGGATTCCCAAGCTTCTCCAATAAATAGTAGGTGATACAGTGAGATAGATTTGTTTCTGATATTTTATATGCAGAGGGGCAGCTAGAGCCCTGAGAAGGGGAACAGTTGGTCAGATGTCTCCTGTGCATGGCCTGGGTTCTCCCAGAAGTTTTAGGGCTTCCACACAGTAACTGGCTCTGCGGTCATCGTGACTCAACAGGGAATTGCAATTATGTTTCTACAGTAACTGTGTTCATTCATGGATATTTATGATCGCTTCTAGAAACCAATGAGGGCCATGGCTGTGTAATTATAGGCTTAGGTTTCTGGAACATCTGCTGAAAGGCAGGCTAGCTGGTCTCCTCAGCTGAATATGAGGGCAGCATGCTTGAGGGTGCAGCAGAATCTGCTCTTCAGGGATCGATGGCGAAGCTGTACCAGGCGACCCCGAAAGAATGTACGTGTTGGGAGGAAACTTACCGGGTCAGCAGCAGGCAGACACCCAGACGTGTTTGGCTTATTAAGATAATTAAAAAATATGTGATCATGTCTGAAAATCCCAGACCGTGGAGAAATTCCACAAGAGAGGAAATACTTCCTGGTATATAAATGGGGATGTTAACAACAGTACTCAGTCTGGTGGGTGGCCGTGAGAAGTCAGTGACATAATGCATGGGGTGGGCAGGTAAGTTGGTTCCATAAACATTCGCTGTTATTTTTAATGATTGATTTTTTTCTTGTTTCTAGTTTGGAAGAGCACTGCTTCTGAAAAACTAGGCCAGTTTCAGCTAATCACTGTTAGCCCGGACATAAGCTGGCTCTGGGAAGCTCTGAGAGCCTTCACCCAGATAATCTAATTTAGAGCACATTTGCTCACAGTGGCGGTACGAATGGTTAAATACAGAAAACCCAGCGTGTCTTCCAGATGTTTACTTTCCATGACAGAGAGGCTAAATGTATCTCTTCACTCTGACAATGTCACCCCAAGAAAATAAGGAAACACCGTACAATTTTGCATTGAAATCTATCTCCTTTTCTCAGCCCATCCTTTTTTGCTTTAAATTAACAAAAAATATATATACTTTCTTTTTTATTTATTAAAAATTTTTTTTAATGTTTATTTATTTTTGAGAGACAGAGAGAGAGAGAGAGAGAGCGCAAGCGAGCATGAGCAGGGGAGGGGCAGAGAGAGGGAGACACAGAATCCGAAGCAGGCTCCAGGCTCTGAGCCGTCAGCACAGAGCCCATTGTGGGGCTCAAACTCATGAACTGGGAGATCATGATCTGAGCCGAAGTTGGCCGCTCAGCCGACTGAGCCACCCAAGTGCCCCTAAAAAAAATACATACTTTCTAGGATGAGATTGCCAGCTAGATTTGACCAGCAGGGGGCAGGTACTGTATACTCATCTTTGTGATTCCCCCAAAGCTGTGAAATGTTCATCTCAATTATAAATGTATGTCTTCTATCATCTATCATAGCAGAAGTTAAAAGGATTATTTTTAAAAACTTAGCAAATGAAAATAGGCACCTCAAATGCATTTAAAGCAGCTTCCATTTTATCAGAACATGTATATACTTTATCAATTTTAGGAAGCATATTTGTTTACATTTTAATATCCCTGAAATTGGGATGCATCTCAAAATTGATTGTAACTTAGACGCAGTAAAATATGGTAATTATTCAATTTAGGATTAGCGTATTAAGGTTTGTAAATTCACACTCCATTGAAGCATGACATGGGAGGCATATGAATTTGCATAGCCGAAGGCGAAGTTGTTTACCAAGTTATTCATAAGTTCTTGCCCTAAATAAAATGAGAAGTTATTAGAAAAGACATAGAAGGAGGGATGGCTGGGTGGCTCAGTCAGTTGAGCATCCGGCTTCGGCTCAGATCATGATCTCAAGGTTCGTGGATTCAAACCCCGCGTCGGGCTTTGTGCTGACAGCTCAGAGCCTGGAGCCGGCTTCAGATTCTGTGTCTCCCTCTCCCTGCTCCTCCCCTGCTCATGCTCTGTCTCTCTGTCTCTCTCTCAAAAATAAATAAACATTAAAAAAAAGACAAGAGAAAGAAAGCATATGAAGACTTTACGTGGTGCTTTAGTCTCTCAAGGATGTTTCTGACTCAGAATGAAATGACATTTAATTTTCATTCAGGTTGTAGCATAGCGGCATTTAAATAATTATCAGTTGATGTCTAAAGCAATGCACATCTAAATGTTGTAACTTGCCAGGCTGTCTTTAAATATCTTCTCTACCTGTTCAGAATCATCAAATGGAATTTTCGAAAGTTTGAATTCCCCCTTCTTGTGATTTCACTTTAGCTACGACAAAATGAAACCCAACCCAGTGAGGGTTGACATCTCATTTATTTCTAACCCTCATTATCAACCCATCCTTGATACTGAGGGAGCAGAAATTCTGTTCCCAGGTAGAGAAACTACCTGGGCAAATTCAGGAGGCCTTTGGAGGGCCAGAGGCAAGGTAAAAACTGCTTTCCCGAAACACAAAACCATGGGTGTCGTCCAGTGGTAGTTGGAGAGCACAGTGCAGACCATTGTTTGTTGTAAGCTATTGAGGAGTGGGGAGTGGACTTAGCCAGAGGAGAGAGGGCTTGTTCTAGGAGTAAGTGCTTGGACTTCAGTTATAATTCACACTATCACTGTTTACATGCCTGGCCTTAAATAAATCACTTAAGCTCTCTAAACCTCAGTTTCCACACTTGTAAAATAGAGCATTGGGTCGTTTCTTTAAGCCTCTGTACCATTTGCTTCTGCCTCACCGGGGGCGGTACCATTTTCTACCTCATGTCCTATTTTATGTATGGTGACAATAATCCCCCCAGTAGACTGTAAACTCTTGAGAAGCACGTAATTCCCTTGCCTTTGTGCATCCCTAAACCTAGCAGTTGGAATGGTGCCTTGAGTAAGGCAGTCGCTCACTAGAGATGTGTTGCCTTGAATTGCATTGAACTAGAAGACAGCTAAGGTGCCCCTTCTGATGTTGTCATGCTGTCCTTAAAGCAGGAGGGACTCCCTATGGCTGAATGAGTTCTAGCTGGGTGGCTGCAATGTTGTGAAGTCAGTAAGCAGAGTCTGGAAGCGTGGGGAGAAGTTGCCATAGCTAATCAATTATGCTAGAAGACACCTTGCAAGGCCAGTTGATTGCGGGTCTGGCCCTGTGAGTTCTCAGGCAATCTTCAAAGCTCAGCAGGAGAGAAGAGGCAAGATGAATGGAGGGAAGAGAAATACAGAGGGGTGAACAGACTCTTTGAAAATGGGGAGCACGTGGAGCTACCAGCAGGTCAAATGCTGGTTGTTGCAGCCCAAGCCGACAAGATATTTCTTCGTGATGGTGACTGTACTGTGGTTCTGTTTTCAGATATAGAACCTCCTAGAATCAAGTGCCCAAGTGTGAAGGAACGCATTGCTGAACCCAATAAGCTGACGGTCCGGGTGTCCTGGGAGACGCCGGAGGGCAGAGACACGGCAGATGGCATTCTAACTGAGTAAGTGCACCTTCGGCAGTGGGAAGGATGTTGCTTCTTTTATGAGAGACGTTTACTGCCCAGAGTGGGGAAGTGTATCTCTGCTGGTCCATTTATGCTTTCAGAGCACTCCTTTAGCAATTCCTCATTCATGCGCTATTTTTCTCCGTAGTGGTCTTCAGCACCTGGCATACTGTATATTTTACTTATGTATTTGTTTATCGCCTGTCTCCACGATAGCATGTTTACTGCCATATCCCTAATGCCCAGAAACAGGCCTAGCACAGAGTTGGTACTCGGTAAATATTCGTCAAAGGAAAGGGAAGAAGGGAAGAAGAGGGATGGGAGGAGAAAGAGGACGCTAGCTGGTTAACTCTGGGATAAAATCACCCCCGTTGCCTGCCCACGGGGCTCCTACTGAAGCCCTTAGGCCTCACTAAGCCATCACCCACCTCCCTGATAAGCCTCTGTGTGTCCCAGGTAGAGCCAGACGCTGCCCCCCTCCCCTTGTGCTCTGTGAGTATGGTTTAGTGCAGAACTTTCTATCCCTTGGTTTTTGGCAACTGCTCCTTTCAAAACTTTGACTTCTAGTTAAATTTTTTTAAACTTGTGACCACAATGGGGAGCCTGGATGGCTTAGTCATTTGAGCATCTGACTCTTGATTTCAGCTTAGGTCATGAT